TAATACTGGGATATTCTGCAGGCTCCTGCATTGTGGATTACAGGTTCATGGTAGCCTCTATCTACACTGGATTTTAGCTAGCACTCAACAAATGAGATTTAGGTGTAAACCTCAATTGTTTCAATGCCAAAAGCTGTGGCTTTCTGCATTAGAAGGTAAATACTTAACCGAGCAGTGCCTCTGTCTGCTCAGTACTTTGCCAAATGGAGTCTGGATCAGAAGGGAAACACATCAGTGGGGGTACCCTCCATCACTATCCTTAGTCTGGTCTCTGAGTCAGGGCTGAACTGGGTTTCTCAGGTGATTCAGACTGATTCTGAACCACCTTCAGAATCAGAAATTCTCAAGATGACAATCAGAAAGGGTTATTTTTGCTAGGAAGGAGAAAATAGAAATCAGCACGTGACATATATAGTCCTCAGATGTCAGCCAGAGATCTGGGAAGACCAATGTAAGCCAGTTCTTTGTTTAATAGGTTTCATTAACTTATTGTTTCCATGAAAATTATGGTGCTTTGCTTTTTTGTGTTTCTCTGTGTTTTTCCCCAAAGAGTCTCTTTTACTGAACATGTGAGCCCTTCTTCAAGTCTAGAAGTTTCAAAGCTGCAAATCTTCATGTCTAAATAACTGTGTCTGTCAAGAGGGGTGGCAGTTACTGTGCTACAATTTATTTGTTGGCTGGCAGATATATCTCCTGAAAACAAAGATTTGAGACACAAGCTTGATCCAGCAAAAAATGAAGTGCACTTAAAATTTTAAAGGTTAGCCTGTAAGCAAGAATGGTGTTTGCTGTATGGGCAGGATGTTTTTCTTAGCTTGTACTTGTACCCAGAAGGTATCAGGCAGCCAGTGGCAAAAATTTTGTGAGTTTCTATTCACCCTGACAGGTTTGTGCTGATGTAGGTGTCTGTTAGGGCTCTGAACAATATTATATTTGTGTACTTAAAAGTGTAATAGTGAAATGTTTAAAGCTCCTTGCAATGTGTAAGAGGGGAAATTTTGAGATGGAGAGGGGTAAAAGTGCAAGAGTGTCTACAATGACACAGATTTGATTGAAGCCAGAAGCCAGGCTGGGCCCTGGGAGGCATCACTTCTGCCAATGGCTCTGCCATTGCTTCCCAGCATAACCATGGTGGACTCAACCTCATTTCTCACTAATTACTTGGATTGACAACATACACGTTGTCTATAGCTCAGGGTGAGTGTGAGGACAGGGTTTTCTATTAGCGGGCTGGCAGCCCCGTTCCTGGTGGCTGCAGCGGGTGATGCTGCGGCGCAGGAGCTGCACGGGTGCTGAGCGAAGCGCTCAGAGCTGTGGTTTCACGGCACGTTGCGCCACCACATCTGAAATAACCGAGCTGGGCATGTGTCTCACTGCACAGCCCCTTCGTAGGTTGACTCATGGTCTTCACAGCTGTATGAAGGGAGAACAGCAAGGAGTGTTTATTTTCTCTTCTTAAACATATGGTAGCAGGTAGAGGTTTCTCATTGTAAGAGCTGAAGCAGTGTGTGTCTTGGTGTGATTTCCTGCCTCCATGGAGAGACTTGCCATTGGAAGGCAAGTCTCTTCACCTGCCTTGAAGTACACATCGCTTTCTGGAGGTGCCTTGATGCCTCTCTGTTGACAAAGCTCTGTGCAGTCACTCTCATAACCTGAAATACATCCAGCTGTTCAGGTTGATGTCAGGTGAAAGTCTACAAAATGCTGGTCTTGGTGCTGAACAATAATCAATACTAATGAGCCTTTTGCCCATCTTTATCCCTTATTCACAGAGGGACAACCTGGTTAAATCAGTCAGGAGAGGGTGAGTGCTGAGGGTGGGATGTGTCCTCCACCAGCCCATGGTTAACGGGTAACCCCAGAGCCCCATTCTGCTGTGGCTGCTGGTGCATCCATGCAGACCAGGGACGCTCCCTTGCCCAGATGGCTCCAACCTCGCTTTGTGACACTGAAGGTGGTCAGCAGTGGGTGGCACTGATGTGCTCTGCCTGGACATGGACTTTCCTGCCTCCTCCCACGGCTTGCCAGCTCTAAGTAAGTGAAATCTGACTTGCAAAGCTCCGAGGGTGAGAGAAGGTGCCAAAGGTGCACTGTAGGGACACTGTACTTAAAGGACAGCTGGCTTTCAATTATTTTCCTCCTTTTCTCCCTGAAACTTAGACATGTTTCTTCCCCACATCATCTAAAGTCATATGCTACTGAGGACACGGATTTTGGTCTTTGCATGCTTCCCTCTCTGGCAGAGGGAGACTTCCAGCAATGCCAATAATAATAATAATGCAGGGACAGCTTTCCCTCCTGCATCCAAGGGAATATTCTCCCGCGAGTGCAGTGGGAACAGCACTGGGTCCCGGGGCTGTGTGTGGGAAAGAGGAAGGCGCAGTGGCAGAATAAATAACTAAAGCTGTGAAGGAGAAAGGTCCATCTGTTCACAGAGGACCAGGAAAAGGCCAAACATCTGCAAGGTCCCCCCAGTTCATCAGGCATCTGCTTCTCTGCTTCCCAGTCTAAAAACTTTCCCACTTGTGGGGAGAGTGGAGCCAGTAGCTTATCTAATACAGGATGGAGTCAGCAGAGCTGGGCTGGGATGTGGTAGAGCCAGCTGTCTCCTACTGCAAAGAAGTGTTTTCTTCCAAGATCTAGGAGAGAGTTCTTTTTCTGTCCTTTCTCCTTTTCTGAAAAATCTTGCCAATTTCTTTTTTCTTTTTTTCTTTCAGAAGGAGTGGGTCTTCCAAAGGGGCAAAAATGGTATTTTGTTTTTGTTTATTCTAATGGTCATTGTTAGATGCAGACTCCTGATTATGCAGAAAACCTGTCCCTTTCCCTGTCTCATATCCTCCAGCACATTCTCTACTTTGATTTTCCTTAGGTGTTTTGAAGGACTGTAATAAAGCAAGAGTGTCTGACTAATGTGCTGTGCAGGAAGATCAGTCTTTGGCATTGGAGCCAGAACTGACTGAGAAACATCATCTAAAGCATAATCTTGAGAAGTCTGTGTTTGCTGGAGTTGAATTTGTTTGCAAAATCATGTTGGCTGGTTGAAGGGTCATTTACAGAGCAAAGGAGAAAAGTTTAAGAAGCACTCAAATATCCCAGCATTTTTTAGAACTAACCTCTTAGACATTAATTTCAAAATCTCTCTACTTTTCTTTTTATTTTGTATTGTATTTCACATGATTTGAAATAAAAGATTGGATTAATTATAGGGCAACAAGGAGGATACTGCAGATATTATTGGACATTTTTTTTTTTTTTTAAATCAATCCTGAACTCTATAATAGCATGAGCTAGTAGGTTTCATGAGATTTTATGTATTGGAGCAAAATTATTGTCTTAAATTAGTTTTCAGTCTGTTGTTTTGGACCTGTCTTTGAGCATCTGTATTTAGGATGATACTTTCTTAGGGATTCAGAAGGGATTTTTTGAGTCCCATCCATGCTCATTTTGGGGAAAATGGGAAGAAATTACTTTCTTGGTAAATAACATCTCTGAAAGTCCTAGGGGAAGTTTGTGTCTTTTAGAGGGTGATTTGAAATAGAAGAGAAAAACTTTCAAGGGCTGCAGACCCATCTGCTTCCCATGGTAGAGAGCATGGAGGTGTTGTGCTGGCAGTGTTGCTCAGCTGGTGCCTGTGCCTGGTCTGGGCTGAGCCTAGGGCTTTAAACCTGGGTATAGGTGGTCCAGAAGGCTGCAGGTCACAGGGGTTTGGCTCAGCACCTTCCTGAGTGGTCTGGAGCCTGCTCCTTGGCATTTAGGGGTGGTGCTGAAGGCCTCTGGCCTGAACACAGTGTGATGCTGCATGGAGATCTGGAGGGTCAAGTAGGGAGCTCACATTTCCTTCCAAAAGCAACAGTTCCTATGTATGTGAGATATCACACTTTTATTAATCTGAAACCTTCCATCCCAGATGCTGCACACACAAGAGCCAACAGCAAACAGCTCTACTTGCAGCATCAATCTTCATAAGAAGAAATGAAAACATACCAAAGTGGTCCAAATTGCAGGCAGCTGCCTTCCCTGGAGACAAATCCAGTGCTAATGGCAAATGCTCTTTTTCCACCATTAGGAGGTGCTTTCAGAGCTTGGTGTCCTGCTGCCTGCAGCCTGTGCTACTCTGTCCTTGTTTTCTTTCTCCTTTGTGGTCCCACATCCCATGAAATTCTTAAGGAGAACTTCTCTCTGCTCCCACCTCCCATCTCTATGCTAAGCTGGATGGCTTCACAGCTGCTTTGTCTTCGCTGCTTTGGCTTCCCATCAACACTTCTGGAAGATTAAAATGAACAAGTTGTATTCTAGAAATTTTGTACATCATCCCCCTTGTAAAAATCCAGAGTTAAGATTCATGTGTGCTTGTGCCTGGCCCATCATATGGCTGTTGTCACTGAGAAGAGCCTGTCATCTTCCCAGCAGCTCTTTACATGAAGCTGTGAAGTCCCTATAGGAAGATGCAAAGAGTGTGTCTGCCTGCCAGCAGCAGGGGTGCAGGAGATGGTCTGGCCTAGACTCTGGGCTCCAGCTCCAGCCCTTCGTGTGTCTTCTGCAAGGGGATCCCTGCTTTTGGACAACACCTGATGCTGTCTTTATAGGGATCAAGAAGAGCTGGCATAGTTTAGCACACGAGTGAATTGGATGGGTTCCATTGCAGGGTTAGACACAGGTGTTCATTAGTGCAAGTTTTGTGGTTGCCTGTGGTAGTTAGGTTTTAGATGCGACTTGTGTCTGTGGGGCTGCTTGTTGGTGCCTTCAGGCTTTGTGGTACATCACCTTTTGCTGTGGAATCTGAGCACCTCTAAGCCATCTGCCAATGTTACTGAGCTGTGTAGCCATTTCCTGGAGCATCGAGGGGTGAAGCTGAGCATTTAATGGTCAAATAATGTGTTATGTCCTGTGCCACAAAACCGGTTGGCAGAGCTGAAAGTATTGCGGAACTCCTCCTGATCATCCATGTCATGATGTGGGGAAATGCTGCCGAGTTTAAATTCTCCCATTCTCTCTCCTAGGCGACTTTCTTCCTCCCCCACCCCCTCCTGTGGATGACCTTGGGAACATCACATCATCACAAGGTGCCTTTCCCCCACCACCCACTCTGGATGATGTTACTTACAATGTACAGGTAAGAAGACAAGAATTTTGTCATTTGTGCAGAACTGATCCAGAAATTGTGGAAATGAATGAATGATAATACAATGAGATGGCAAAGTTCTGGTTAAAAATCATGGGTCAGGAATAACCAAGTCAGCTTTAGCAAGCTGTGTTTCCCAAGCAGGGAGTATTTCCATTCAAAACTTGCTGGGCTATTAAAGGATTTTTCCCATCCGGCTTGAATTAGGAGACTAATTGCCTTATGTTGTTGTGATGGCGGATGGGAGTGGAACCTTCCCAGAATGAATTGTTTTCTGGAATGGCCATCTCCTTCCATGGACTGTGGAGAGACTTTAGGGCAGTAATCTGATCCTGAAAGTGCTTTGTTTAGATTCCCAAAATTAAGTGAAGCAAATAAGCCCTGGCCCAGGCTCCAGTGATGTAATTGAGACCCTTTTCACCCTCTTTTTGCTGGCTTGGGTCTTCTAGATTGGCCACCTGGATGAAAACACGACTTCTAAGACACATCAGGTGATGCTGGAATGTCCAATGTGAATATGGACAGACCTTGAACATCTTTGCAATATATGAACACTTTTGTGCAGGTATTGCAGGTTTGCCTGGAGTGCCAGGTTTATGTTTGCTCAGGCACATTCTAGAGAAATTCATTCAGACTTCGGGACAAGGCAGTCAAGGTGATCAAGGAGTGAGGAGCTGATCTTCCAGGTGAAGACCAGAAGAGTATGTCTTGTTAGCTGAGCAAAAGGAAGGCTGAGGATGAGTCTGGTTGCAAATTTGAAATGCACTTTGGGAATAAGCCCATATTTCGTCTCTGTGTGGATGTTGGTGCAAGAACAGGAGAGGCTGAGCTTGCCAGAATACCCATGCTGGTGTTTAGAAATTTCTAAGCACTGGGGCTCCAAAGATCTGGAAAAGCCTTCTGTCAGAAGTAGTGAGAACACATCAAGCATGGTCTAGGTTTGAGGCTGTTGAGAGTCGTGTAACCACATATCCACAGACATGGGGCTGCCCTTGATGCCCTGGAAGATTGTGGCAGTCCTGTATCCCTTGGTGAGTTTGAACATGAGAGTAGGCCAGCAGGCAGGCATTAAACAGGATTCAAAAGACCTGACTTGGTTCCCGACCCTCTCACCAACTCTAGACTCACTTTGTCTGCTTTGTGGCTTGGGGAAAATAAAACATTCCCCTCCCTCATGGGCTTACTGAGATCTTTTGCCTGTGCCTTCAGAGACTATGGCAAAGCTTCAGCCTTTCCTGCAATGGGCTCAGTGTTGGAAGCAGCCTTTGAGCAGGAAGAGGTTAATGGAGATTGTGTTTTCCCTTGCCAGGAAAGGCTGCAGCAGTCAGGGACATTGCCAAGTGCAGAGCATGGCTTTTCCCAGCCTTGGGGGAATGAAGTAATTCCCCAGCAAGTGTTGTTCTGTCTTTTATCTCTCTGAGAAGAGTGGCCTCCGTGGGAGCAGGGGAGCTTCCAGAGCACCCCGGGAAGCCGAGGAGCAGCAGGCTCCTGGCAAAGGCAGGGCACTGCCTGCATGGTGCCTGCACAGGAGCCTGTGTAGCAGGAAGGGGTCGTGGTGCCTCACAGGATTCCTCAGGGTCAGGCTTCCCCCTTCCCAGTCATCCAGGGAGAGGGCCTTGTGTATTTAGTGAAAGGGGCTTGCTCCTGCCATGGCTCCAAAAGTGTCCCTGAGCCACTTGAAACTATGACAGGGATGTGCCCCTTGGTAGAACCACTCAGCAGGACAACTCTTCCCTCTGAACTCATGGAATTGCTATTTGTCACACTCTTTCTCTCTGGTTTTGGGAAACTGGGACTGGAGCTGTGTCCAGTGTTGGGTTTTAGCAAGAGCTTGGTTAGAGCAGGATTCCTTTGCGTGGTGTCCTGCTCAGAGGAGGGTGAGCCTAGCAGCTGTACCTGAGCAATCCTGCCTGTCACCATCCCAAATGTACTCTTATGCAGCAAACAGAGCTCCCTGCCTTTCCCTGACTTTCATCTGTGATCAGAGATGTCACCTATTTCTCTCCCTTTGCCCTTCCATTTTCTGTAGGAGATCAGGAGCAGGCAAAAGTCAGGGCTTAAGTCAGGAGCCAGCAGGGTTTTGTGTTGCAGGATCAGCTCCTTATCTTTCAGGAACAGCAAAAGTCACGCTGAAGCATGTAAAGCCCAAGAGAGGAGGAAGAGGGCAAGTGGTGCTGGAGGCAGCTGCCCAGTGCCTTTGTGCATCAAACACAGTAATTTTCTCAGATCTGGACAGGTGTTCTTGTGCTAAAGGAGCAGAACAAACTGTGACTGTGTTCCTTCTGCTGTGAAGACATGGCTGTCTGAAATCAGGGATCTTGTGAACATGTGTTGTATTGGGCTACAAGAGCTCTCCAATGCCAGACTATTTAATTTCCATGCCTCAGTTTCCCTCTTGCTAAATGTAAGTGCTGGAGCAGCAGACCCAGTTCCTGAGCATTGCCCAGACCTGAGGCTGCTGTCTGGGTGGTTTGGCCCCTGTGGACCTGGTGAGAGCCCTCCAGATCTACTTCAGAGTTTGAAATTCCTCTGTTCCATCAAATCAGCCGTTTTACATCAGAAATTTCTCTCTGGATGGTGCAGTGCTGATGACAGCTTATGAAGTATGTATGCTGTAGGATCCAGGTAAATCTTTTTATATTAGGTGTTAAGTTGATGAGGACAGCAGGATAGATGTTTAGTTTATTATCAGTTTGTGTGTTAGTGTTACCAGAGGACTGAAAGCTGCACAACTTATTACAGTTTAAGCTGTAGCTTAAGAGCAGCAGTTAAAATAATACCCAGTTTTCATAGGCCTGTTTATCTCTGGATCTCTATTTGGACAGTGGAACTGGCCACTTAGGATCAGATCCAAAAAGGTACTTTAGTATCTGACTTATGCTCTGATGGAAATTAGAGGAGGGCTGGATCATAAAATACCTTTGTGATAGATCTGGCATTTTCTTGTAATTTCTTTTTTTCCCATCTAGATCTGTCACATTCAGATTCACAGCAGGGCTGTGGGGAGGAAAGGGGAAGGAAATTTAAACTCTTTTCTTATTAACTGGAATGCCTTTTTATTTTTTATTAAAAAAAAGGAAAGAAAAGGCAATATTTATTTTTAAAAGAGTGTGTTTGGGCTGGGGGAGAGTTGTGTTGGGAAGTTCCCCTTTGGCTGCAGCGGGGGAAGGCAAGGACTTGTTCCCAGAATGGGGTGAGGGCGTGGTGGTGGCGTGTTTGACAAATAAGGACATGAGCAAAGAGCCTTTTGCCACGTTGGCCTGGGCTCAGTTTGAAAGAGAAAGAAAAAAAAAATTTTGGACGGGAAGAAAAATGAAATCACTGTTTGTCAAAGGGAAATAGATAGATCTGGGAGGGAGGCAGACAGATTTTTATTATGTTTTTGCCTTCTAGTTTCAAAACAGGCATCTGCCCAGGCCAGGGAAAGCCAAAAACTCTCATCAGCCATCTCTCAAGCACCCTGTTTGCTCACAGAGGGACCCTCACTCATGGCTCTGGCAATTTCTTCCTTCCTTGCCAGGCAGGGCTGCACAGCTGTGTGAAAAGCCAGTCCCTGTCCCATGCCCCAGGAGTCCTGGAGTGCTATGCTGTCTCAGGAGTCATGGGTGCTATGGCCTGGAAATGACCAATTCTTTTTAAAGGGGAGGGTCAGAGCCCAGCATTTCATGTTGGAGCAGGATCTGGGTGGCTCAAAGCAGATGCGACCTTCAGCTGCCAACTTGCCAAGGACCACCTTGGGAAAACATCCATTTAGAGATCTCTAATAATTACCTGCATGTGCTGCATCTGCAGATGGGTCTGATTTTCCTTTGGGATCTGAGATGCTACCAGCATGGGAAGGAGAGGATTGTGCTGAGCTGGGATGGCACCTCTTTCCCAGCACCCCCCAGCTGTTATCAGTGTGTTTCTTATTGACAGGCCACAAAACACTTGACAAAAGAAATACCACTCTCTTCCTGATAAGGAAGCTGGAGTAGGGAAAGTGCTTTGTCTAGGTCACCAGGCTGACCAGTAGCAGGTTAAAAATAAGACTGAGGTCTCCTGTGTCCCAGAGCAATTCTGCCTGCGACATCCCAGAGCCTCATTACTGTAATAATTGCAAATTAATGACTAAACACCATCAGTGCCTGAACACAGGAACAATTTGGGATGTATCAAAGTGGATGTGAATAAGTGGATTTAGGTTGGGGGTTAAAGTGAAGAAAAAATTGGACTTTGAATAGTTGCATGAAGTGCAATATAAAAAAATTTAATATACCAGTTCTTGTTATAATCCTCTGTGTTTGGAGGGGCTACATGGGCAGGGAACTGTTCCCACCTACTGAACTTACCAGTCCTATTGTCGTGTTGTGATGTGCAGAAAATCAGCCAAAGGACTGAAATTCCTATTGCCAAGGAGTTTTGGAAGGGCGAGAGCTGAAGCGCGTTCTGGAGGTGTGTGTGCCTTCCTCCACGAGGCTGTTCTGAGGAGACCTGTCTCACTGCTCCTCAGTGCTGGGAGAAGGTGGGAATGTGTTGATAGATGTGAGAAGTGAGAGTCTCATCCTTGTTAGGGAAGAGGCTGCCAGGTGTTTCAGCGTCTGCCTCCACTCCCCGCGAGTGGCAGCGGTGCCTCTGTGGGCTCTGACTCACTGGCTGAAAGAACAGCCAGGACACAGGAATTGTTTTTAGTTCTTTGGATTTTTTAAAAAATTTATTTCTGAAATTTGGTTGCACATCTTGGCAAATAGCTGGGGAGGAAAAACCATGAATTTTGCCAGTGGGGGTTGCTGCGTAAAATAGCTCATCTCCTGTTCGGTGGCTGGGCTCTGCCTGCTGGTGCTGGGCTTGCTTTAAATCACCTGCCTTTTAATGTGTGGAGAAGCTGAAAAGGCCAGGGAGAGCAGAACATGTGTTCAGCCTCCCTCTAGTGCTAGATTTTGTTAATTATCGGGATTAGTGGCCTGGTTGTAGGTGCTTGCTGGCAAGGAATGTTGGTACCACGGAGCAGA